ACAGAGCCTGGGTGGCAGAGTGTTGGAACCCTGAAGCCTGGAAGTTTGGAACTTTCTGTGCTTTCTAACACTGACCCCCAGGAGAACACTGCTTTTGATTTGAGGCCTTGGGGAAGGCTCCAAATTTGAGTGATGGAGTTAAAATCACGGGTGTGTAGTTGGAATAGAAGTGTGTGATTTCACATGGTGAAGGGTTTGGAATTTGGGGTTTATAGAATAGAATAATGGGTATGGGACAAGATGGAGGTTCTTGGGCATTGTCTCCTTCTTCCTTTCTTGTTCCTTCTTCCTTCTCTTTCCTAGTTTCAGGCAGTAATTTTTGGTTGGACAGTTTGTGCTGCACTACGGGTCACAGGTGTTTGGCTATTGGGTCAAAAGTATAAATAATACAGGTGTCAGCTATTTATTGAACTGTTTAACTTTAAAAGACCTTGTAACCAGCTCCAATTTGCTCACTTTTAGCTGGTAGCTGGAAGTGTTGCAGAACTCTGTGTACTTTAGATAAGATTTAATAAACAGCCAAATCCGAACCAAAAATTTCATCTTTGTGTTTTTAACCCTGACCCCGAGCGAAGGCAGAAGAAAACGCAGACAAGGCACAGAGGAGGTGGTGCAGGTGACCCCTGAGAGGGGGTGAGGGCAGAGCAGGGACAGGACACTCACCACCAGGCGGATGTCCTTGATCTCGCCGATGCCCACGTTGATGCCTTTCCTGTCGTTGACGGGCAGGCGGATGTTGATGAGGTAGTACTTGTGTGCCACGCTGCCGATCTCCATGAAGGGCAGGAAGTCACAGTCGTAGTGACGACCCTCGGACTCCACGGTCTGCACAAAGGGCAGGGAGCAAAACTTCAGCACAACCCCCGGGACCAGCACACCACAGACACTCCCAACTGGGAGCACTGGGAGCACCCAGAGCCTGTGTGCTAATTCCAGCCTGTGGCTGAGGGATGCTTGTCATGGTTTTGATGGGTTAGGGTCACTGGGTAACTAAGATTTGACCTCAAAAAGTTCACATTTCAGGTTTTCCCTCTAAAACTCCCTGACAGGAGGTGGGAGCCAGGTGAGGATTGGTCTTTTCTCCCAGGTAAAAAGTGACAGGATGTCCTGGTTCAGGGCAAATTTAGGGACAAAACCTCTGAATGGAATCCCTTTAGGAAACAGATTCAAGCAATCCCTCCCCCACCTGGTTTGGGGAAATATTTCCTCGGAGAGAAGTGGAAAAAAAACCTCGGCACCTCTTCTCTCCCCCTTCACTCCTGGAACCAGTCTTAAAGCTGCAGAACTCAATATTCAACAGCAACAGAACAGATTGGGGATACAAGCATTATAAAGTCACCCCAAGACACAGGACAAGAGAAAACAGTCTCAGGTTGGATATTGGGGAAAATTTTTCCATGGAAGAGGTGATTCTATGGTTCTGTGATTGGAAGAGGACAACTCCCACTCATCCCCACCAGCAGTCAGTGAAATTCCTTACTTTTGGAGAGCCAAAGGTGCACTTCAGCTTCCTGATCTCTATGGCATGTGCTATTTCCTCCCAGTCATCAAACATGTCATCACGATAGGCCAGCGACACATCCAGGGTGATCTCTGCATTTTCCTCTGCAACAGCAAGGAGACAGGAGGCTCAGAGGGTTCCCAGAGTAATTAAAAAACACAACACAAAGTTCCTTTATGAAGATAATTAATGAACTGAAGTTGAGCTATGCTGGCCTAGAAAAACACCTCAGAACCAACCACACACAACAGCGTTGATTTCTACACGTGTTGTTTGCTTCAGTTGTTCTCCAGGAGCTTTTTGGAGCTCTCCCTTCCTCACCTACACAACATTTTAGAGCCCTCCCCTGCTCCTCCACACCTGCACTGACTTGTTCCTGCCTCTGCAGCTGCCCCAACTCGCACACCAGTGCCACACACGGAGCTCTGGCAGGGTCACACATCCCTGGGGACCAGCAGCTCGTCCCCTCCTGGATGTGACAAAGTCTGGGATCAGCTGCTTGGAAAGGTGACACTGCCAGGACACTGCCAGGGGAGTGAGGCTGGAAAAGGCTCACTGACAGTGAGTTCATGCACTGGAGCTGCAGCTGAGGCTGCCAAGGAACAACACATCAAAAACCTGAGGCAAGTCTGTACCAGCTCCACCAGCTGGAAACTCCTCCTGTTTACCAGGCACAGATCCCAGGGAAGGCTCTGAACGAGGAACACGCTCCAAACCCAGCACGTGCATGTCACAGCCCTGCCTCCTTTTGTAGGGCACCAAACTCTGACAGCCACAGCTGCTGGGAAAGCTCCAGAACCATCCACCCTGGAGAAGGGTGGGGAAAGCTCCAGAACCATCCACCTTGGAGAAGTGTGGGGAAAGCTCCAGAACCATCCACCCTGGAGAAGTGTGGGGAAAGCTCCAGAACCATCCACCCTGGAGAAGTGTGGGGAAAGCTCCAGAACCATCCACCCTGGAGAAGTGTTAGGAAAGCTCCAGAACCATCCACCTTGGAAAAGTGCTGGGAAAGCTCCAGAACCATCTGCCATGGAGAAGTGCTGGGAAAGCTCCAGAACCATCCACCTTGGAGAAGTGTGGGGAGATGGCTCCAGAACCCATCTTTTAGCCATATTTTTGTTGGGAATACGTGGTGGCACACTCATCCCACCGGATGGGATCTGTGGTTTGCAGTTCTATTTTTACACCCCCTTCAGAGGTGGCTGGGTTGTGCATCTGATGTGGACACTTTAGGATTTTTCTGAGCATTTTTTGGTGCATGTGATCTGCACCATCCAGATCCACATCCAGCCCCTTTTCCAGAGCTGCCAGCACTTGGGTTTCCATGGAACACGAATTTGCCATCTCAGATCCGCTGTTTAGGAGACCAGCAAAACAGATAAATGGGAACATAAGGTTGAACTTGGCCCGGCTAAAAAGAATCATGAACTCCATTTCAGAAGCCATAAAACCAACTGGAATGCTTGGGATTAAATCCAAGAAAAACAGCTTTCAGTATTTCATCTTTGCAGTCCAAATGTTGCTGCTGCCATGGAGTATGAAAACCAGAAGGCAGAAGATGAAGTGCTGTGTGCCTTTCCAGGCCAATGGATTAGAGACTCCCTCTGGAATTCCATCAGTCTCTCTGCTGGGGTGACACCTCCCCTTGGAAATGAGTTTTGTGCAAAGACCCTTCAGGGCTGTCAACATAAAATACAGATATATCCATCTATCCATAGATTTCAGCACAGCAGACTGATGGCAGAGCTGTGGTAGTGGTTGGACTCCATCTTAAAGGTTTTTTCCAACCTAAATGATTCCATGATAATCCCATGCCAGCCTTCCATCAGCAACTCCCATTGTCCCTGAGCAACAAATGAGGACAGTGACAGAGAACCAGATCTTAAGATTTGTGCCTTATTCACATTAATGAGATGGTGAATAGACAATTTTCTGGAGAGGGGAGGGTGCTGTTTTCCTGCACAGCATTAAACTGAAAGGGAGCAGGATCAGATTGGAGCTCAGGGATAAATCCTTCCCTGGCAGGGTGGGCAGGCCCTGGCACTGGTGCCCAGAGCAGCTGTGGCTCTCCCTGCATCCCTGGAATGTCCAAGGCCAGGCTGGAGCAGCCTGGGACAGTGGGAGGTGTCCCTGCCATGGCAGGGGTGGCACAGGATGGGCTTTGAGGTCCTTCCAACCCTAATAAGGACCAGACACTCTCCTGGAGGTTTCCCAGCCCTGAGCTCTGTGATCCCCCCAGTGAGGGACTCCCTGCTCATGCTCCAAGCACCACCAGTGTCATTTTTCCCACTGGCATTTTATTGCCCAGGAGCTTTTCCATGAATCACTTTATAGGACAATGCTTGCCCAGGATATCTTCACTCACATTACAATGGCCTAAAAATAGTGGAGCTGTTTCAGGAGGGGGCTCTGTGCCAGCTGCACATGAGCACAGCTGGCAGGGGAGAAGCCTATGGCAGGCAAGCAGAAATGCTCGAATTATTTCCATTACACTTCCATGCTTCACCAGCTCCCTAAAATTACAAAACCTACCAAAAAGCCCAAGGCTGGATGAATTAGAAAAGGAGGATGCAGCACTCTGCAGTTGCTTTCCAGCTGTAAAGAAAACTCCATCTCCTTCCTCTGGTCCCCTCCTTTCCCAGTCGTGGGAAGGGGTTTTAATAATTGAGTGCACAATGCATCAAGAAAGGAAAGGGACAGCACAGAAACAGCCTCTTCCTCAGAGGAACAGCCTGAGCCTCTCCCAGCTTTCTGAGAAGGATAAACACAGGGAAGCAGCTCAGCTTTTAGACATGTACATATCAAAAAATCTGTATTTCAAAACCACTGGAAGTCCAGAGGAGTTCCCAAGGTGAGGGTGATTAGGGTTGGTTGCTGCTCTCAAAGGTGAGACCCCACAGGGTATTCCAGGAGGCTCAACCCCTGCCAGCCTCTCTCAGGGCACCTCACCAGGGCTGCCCTTCCCCTCTGCCCCAGCAAAAAAAAAAAAAAAACCAAAACCTTTCTGGCTGGATGGGGAGAGCTGACCCAGGTCCTGCAAGGGGAGAGATGACACAGGACTGACTCCAGCTCTCTGTGGATGAGGAGTCACTCATGAATCACCAATATTTCCCAACAGGCACAGCCCAGCTGCCCCTGCCCCAGGAGAGTTTTGGCACCCAGCACCCTGAAAAAACCAAATGCAGCTTTACTCTGTACATTGGCCTTGCTTGGGAATTGCAGGAGAAGAGGACAACCAAGGGCCTTTGAGGAAAAAAAAAAGCAGGAGACAGTTTGATGTGGCAACATCCCTGCTGGAGGCCCAGGACCTTGCTCAGCACCTTCAGACCCTGCAGTGCAGCTCCAGGATCCAGGATGTGCCCCAGGCAGCAGCTTCTTCAGGAGGATAAATCCTGTGCAGCTCCCAGCAGTGCTGCTTTCCTGGATGGGCTGAGGCAGCTCCAAGACAGTTTTGAGGACAGTGACCAGAGGCTTCAGCAGCTGCTGTGCCTTCCAGGAGTGGCCCTGGTTTGGCACCAGCCCCTGCTGGCATTGGCCACAGCACAAGGAGGCCTGGAGGGCTCAGAGTCCAGAGAGAAGAAATTTGAATTGTTACTTTAAAAGAAGAACTGAGGTTATTTCACGTCCTGATCGCTGTCCCTTTAGCTGATCCCTGATCAATGAGGCCCTTTCCTTTAACAGCAGGGGACAGACACACACATGCAATTAATTCAGCTTAACAAGTCTTCTGTTTATTTGTTTAAGAGCTGTTACAAAACAACCTACCAAGCAAGAAATGTTCCTGAGATTCTACACTTAATTTACATCTGCCTTCAGCTTGGCACAAAGTGCTGGAAAATCCCCAAACCTCCTTTTTATTACCCAGGGGGTGGCCCAAGATGAGTTTTTCTGCTTTGAGACCTCAAGAAAAACCTCCCACCTTTGCAGGACTCAGCCACTGAAGGGCACAAAGCTGAAGCAAAGGCTCTGCTCTGGCAGCAGAAGTGCTGCCAGAAGCTGGGTTAGCATTCCAGCATCCTGCTCCAAGGGCTTGGCCAGCTCCTGACTCCAGCACGGTGGTTCAAGTTGAAAATCCTTGGAATAAAGAGCTGTTTCCCTAATGCAATCATCTATCCAAGTGGAAGGAGGTGAGGCTTTAATAAAGGCACAAAGCTGCTCTCAGTATTTCAGAGATAATTACAGGGATAAGAACACAGGTGAAAGTTTTCAGCAGTCTCATTTCTAACTTATCTGAATGATGATGCATTAAATCATCCCTGCTCCATCTCTGCAAGTGCTCAAGGTTGGGGCTTGGAGCAACCTGGGATAGTGGAAGGTGTCCCTGGCCATGGCAGGGGGTGGCACTGGAGCTCTGAGGTCCTTCCCAACCCAAACCAGTGCAGGACTGTGGGATAAATAGCTGGGGGAACAGTTCCACGCTGAGCAGGAATGGGGTCAAGGACACAAATTGGCTAAAAAATCTCCTAACCCTGAGTGACTCCCTGAAGTGATCCCACCCCACAGATCCCTGAGCATGGAGCCAGCCCAGCAGCCAGGCTGGAGCCAGGGCAGGAGCTCCAGACAGCCCAGCTCAACCAGTCTGCAAAGCAAATTGTTTATTCACTGTAGCTTAGAGCTGGAGAGGGATTTCCCCAAACACTTTAAAACATGCAAAAACATGGACAGCCTCCCTTCCAGGAAGGGCCAGAGCAGTCCTGCCCTTGCTGCTCTCAACATAATTTTGCAGGTTTTATTGCAGGATTATTTTTGAGTTTGGGGGAGACTTGTGTGGCTTTTTTTTTGGGGGGGGGGGGGGGGGTGGGGAGAGTGTTATATATTTATTTAGTATTTATATAATAGCTTCCAACTGAAAGAGGGAAATTAAAGTTAGATATTGGGAAGGAATTGTGAGGAATCTGTGAGGGTACCCAGAGCAGCTGTGGCTGCCTCTGGATCCCTGGAAGCATCCAAGGCCAGGTTGGAGCAGCCTGGGACAGTGGAAGGTGTCCCTGCCATGGCAGAGGTGGCTTTGAGGTCCTTCCCAACCCAAACCATTCCAGGATCACCAACTCCAAGATCCAGAACATTCTCCAACACAACTCACACAAGGTAAAAACCCCTTTAGGGGAAACGAGAGCCAGGCAGCCCCTCCCTGTGCCAGCCACTTACTGAGGTCGTTGTCCATCTTGAAGGCAATGTCGAGCTGCATGATGAAGAGCATGAACTGGAACCAGGGGCTCATCTCCTTGCTGGGCAGGGGGATGTGCACAGCGAACACGATGTCATTGGCCTCGATCTGCCGGCTCACGGCCTCGTCAAAATCCTTCAGCTTCTTGCAGTGGTTGGGTCCCCAGGGCATCAGCCACTTGGTTTTGTGGTGGTTCTTCCTGACATCAATGCACTTCACTGACATGTAGGGAACAGCTGTCGTGGGGCTGGGAGCTGCCAATGCAAGAGAAGCACACTTGTAGCATCTGCAGCCATCTGATCCTGAGGTTTCCCCCAGCAAAACTCGCAGCTCCCCGCTCGACTCTTTGAAGGCAATTTAAAACAAATGCAGCCAGTGCTGCTCCTTCACAGCTCTTTGATCTCACAGTCAAGTAATTAAGTTTATTACATCCACAGATGTATTACTGACTTTGTAGTGGGATCAAATTAGGATTAATTGAAGAGCTGGGATCTGCTGGTTCAGTCTCAGATACCTCAGTCACACAAAATTCATCCTTATTTACTGAAATCTTTTCCTTTCCCTGGGCTCACTCAAGCAAATCCACACAGAAAGCACGTGCCCAGAGAAACCCGGGTGGATAAACTAATCCCAAACCTCGTGGGCCTGCAGGGCAGAGCAGGATTTACCACAGGGATTTGCACCATGCAAGGCCACACATCTCCTTGGGCAGGAAGATTTTCCTCCAGGCCAGTGGGAAATGAGACTCTGCAGAAGGTGATTTTCATGTTGTCACCATCCTCATTCTGATCATCCAGGACTTCCCTTACAGATCACAAAAACCCCAGCAGCAATAACACCACCCTACAAACTCCCAATATTCCCAGGAGGAAAACAACCCCAGAGTGAGCTTCACCCTCCTGCTGCCCCCAGCCCCGTTACACCCAGATGATTCAGCCCTGGCTCCCTTTAATTTGGGTAATTTGGGCACAGCAGGATCATCCCAGCAGCTCTGGAGCTGTTTGGGATGGCAGCCAGGAACCCTGTGGAGCACCTTGCCCAGAGTGCCACCTCGGCACAGGGTGACATCCACACGGCTTCCCACGGGCAGCCAGAGGTGACTCAACGCCAGGCAGGAGGAAGTTACTCAAAAGCCAAATGTTTATCAACTGCATTTTTTCCATTTTTTCACAGCACTGAGTTTCTTCCAGCTCCAAAGGCACAGGGTGGGCTCCAGGGGACTGGAATGAGCAGTGGGAAGTGCTGGACTCAGTGACCTTAGAGGGCTTTTCCCACTGAAAGGATTCCAGGAGTGCTCCCAGATTGATCCCAGCTCTCTGGGATGCATCGTTGCACTGCTGCATCCCAAACCCTTGCTGCACTCAGGAATCACACACCATTCAGATATTAAAGCAACCCCAAAACCAAACAAGTTCTTGATATCAGAATCAGCACATATCCTGAATTGGAAGGGACTCACAAGGATCATTGATCCAATCCCAAAAATCCCACCCTGTGCATCCCTGGGAGCAGGCTCCAAACACTCCTGGAGGGGTGCATGGCTGTGCCCATTCCCTGGGGACCTGGCCAGTCCCCAGCACCCTCTGAGGGAAGAACCTTTCCCAAAATCCACCCTAAACACTGCCATCAAGAAACAGCAAAGTGGAATAAAACAAAGCATTCAACAAACAAATACAAATGAAGCTGCAAGTCCAGGGTTACAGAACATTCACGACATGCCCATAGTGCATAAAACACTGCAATAAATGTTGATTCCTCCACCGTGCCTCGATGCAGAGCCCAGAAACCACAGCTAAAACTGCAGCTGGAAGGGAATATCAGGAATATTGCTGTGAAATAAGCCAGGCTTTTGAGCCGAGCTCTCTGAGCTCTTTAACTCTGACACATTCTGGGTGATTTCGAAGGCATTTCTGAATTAAGAGACAGCGTTCCCTCTACAGAGAAGCCGAATGTTTCTTGCTTTGATGCAACTCATTATAGCCATAAATACATGTTTTCATCACTGCCTGATTATGATTTTAAACACTTGGCACGCTCCCTGCAGCCTCCCCCCTGCCAAAGTTACAGCTTTGAGGAGCATGAGACAATTACTATACATATTCCTCGTCGGGAATCGAGCACCAAACAAACGTCGGCACTTGGCTTCCATTACTGATCTGGCTCCTGGCCCATTAAATCCAAATGAGCGTTGAACCAAGTGGGGAAAAAAAAAATAAAAAAATAAAAAAAAAAAAGCAGCTTTGTGGAGCTGCAGCCAAGTCAGCCAACAGCATTACAAAGTGCTATGCAAAACAAAGCTCGCAGTGAGGGATTTGGGCTGGGCTGTGGTGCCAAGGGCTGCCCCCAGCCCCGGGGGATGCAGCAGCTCCACAGATCCCAGGATCTCCTTCAGCCTGGAAAAAACGGAGCAGCTCTGTATGCACAACACAGTGGATCAGCCCGAGTGCTGCCAGGAGAACTGCAGGTACCTCCTGGAGTGAGAGGGGAGCAGAGCTTCCAGAGGAAAGCTGGGCAGGAGCCAGTGGGAGCCAGCTCAGCCCCCAGCAGGGAATCCTGGCAGCAGCCATGGGGCACAGAGCCCTCGTGCCAGGCCTTGGGCACCACCAGCAGTGCCAAGTGCCAAAAGCCACGGGCAGGAGGTGCTGGAGCTGCCAGCGCTGCCACAGGATCACAGGACTGAAAGAGACCTTAAAGTTTGCCTCGTTCCAAACCCTGCCATGGCAGGGACACCTTCCACTGTCCCAGGCTGCTCCAAAATGGCTTTGGATACTGCCAGGGATCCAGGGCTTCTCTGGGCACCATCCTCACCCTCCCAAGGAACAATTCCTTCCCAATATCTAATCGAAATTTCCCCTGAATTTCTGCCTCTGCATCTCCTGCAGCTGGGCCTCCAAAGGTGGCCAGCTCACTGCAGAAATCCCAAATTACAGGGGCAGAGCAGATCCTGCTGCTCCCTGTGATGGTTTTACTCAGCAAATACTTGGAAAGTTGAACATTTTCACTAGAGCTTCCCATGGGCTGCCAGGGCCAGCTCTGCCGTGTGTCACTGACTGGAACAACTCCTGCACAGAATTTCATCCTTTCCTTCAGCCAGGTCAGGGCAGGGTGCTCAGGGCTGATCCCACCAGGACAGCAGAAAACAAGGTCCAAGGCACCTCCCTCAGGAGCTAGCTCTCAAAGAAAAAAAACAAAAACAAAACCAAAAACAAAAAAACAATTGCTTCTCTGGTTTTAGACTTAAATCTTTAGGTAAAAAAATTACTGAGACAAGTGAGCTCCATTTTTTTAGCATTTTTTTTGGGGGGATATTACACTTAACTTTGGGTAAGAGCCACCATCACTCAGTATTTTAATTTCAATAAATTAAGCAGATCTTCAACAAGCTCCTGTGATGAAGTCTCAGATATCTCCTTCCTCCTGCACTCCAGCATTTCCATGCCCTCTCAGTTTCTCACCTTGGGAATCACATCCTGCACTTTCTCATCCCAGCACTGCCATTAACCACCGACCCTTGCTCCAGCACCATAAACAAGCCCTTTGGAAACTCTCAATTGCATTGTGTCCACATTGATTAAAGGCTGAATCCCCCTGACCTCGGGGGGATTTAACTTCTCCCGGCAGCGGGAATATTCTGCTTTTCTACTCAATTACCCCCTTCGGAGCCAGCCAGCACTTCCCAGCGAGCACACACAAAGGGCTTCTGCTTCATTACCCTAAGCGACTGCAGGGTAGGAATAAACAAGCTAATTTATCATGGACAGACCCAGCTTTTCCAACTGGAACAGCCAAAACCTGCAGAACACCGTATATACACTCAGGATTATAAATATGGATTTATTGCAGCGTGGATTTTCCCTTCTGCCTCCTTCTTTCCTGACCTCGATGGCAGCAGTTTAATAAATTTGAGTGACACAGAGACTTTTAATTACTAGTTCTTTGATAGTTCTGATTTCACAAAGCACTGCAGCAGCTTTTATATGCAGAATAATTGTATGTTTAAATAACCCCACTGCCTACTGGAAGCCCACTCCCTTTGGGAAAGGTTTTTCTTTCTTATATTTGATTTCAAGCTTTATCCAGATCAAAATCCTTTAAAGCCCCGGGGCACCAATTCCATCCTGATTTACAGTGGGAGTTTCCAGATATGGGTGTTCAGCTGCAACAGGATATTTCTGTTGTTTCCAAGACATTTTTTTTCAGTACTACAGGTTTCTCTTTTTTTTTTTTTTTTCAAACCATAAGAATGAAACAAAATTTGCTGGATCAGAACAGAAACTTCGTGGCTAATCCTGGATCCCTGGAGCAGGGATGGGCTTGGAGCAGCCTGGGATAGAGGAAGGTGTCCCTGCCATGGCAAGGGTGGGATAAAATGGGATTTAAGGTGCATCCAACCCAAACCATCCTGGGATTCTGTGACTACAACCCAGTCACATCTTTCATATCCCAGGGGTTGTGCTTTTCCTCAAGGTTTATTCTCCAGTGCTACTTTTGCAGCTTTGCTACCAGCAAAGTCTCTCCAGAGCAGCCCAAAGTGGAGGTTTTTCCCAATAAATCAGATCCCAAGGAGCAGCCGTGCCCAGAGCTCTTAGAGCTGAGGGAGCAGGGGATTCCCAGCTCCATGAGAAGCAGCCAAAGGGCTCCTGGGGAACAGAGATAAGGAATTCTTCCCTCAGCCCCAGGCAAATCACAAAGCAGGGAAATCTTATGAGGCACAACTTGCTGGGAGAACTGAATGAACGATCTCCATAATTCACATCCATATTCAACAGCAGCAACGAATGCAAATGAGGAGAGCACGAGTAGAGCTCTGAAAATGCAGAAATGGATATTCAAAAAAAAAAAAAAGTAAGACTGATTTACTAATTGCCTGATCTTCTTTCAAGTCAGTTTTCCAATGGGATGAGATGAATTTCCTGCAACGCCCAGCCAAGGTTTGAAATCCCTGCACACAGATGAAGGAGCAGGAAGAGCTGTTGTTATCCAGCAGCTTTTCTCTTGAGCCTGACACTCCCCAAGATAAGATGCCTTGGAGACTGCTCCTGCTCAGATATGTGAGGAATTTCATCTCCATGTCAATGGGCTGGTCCAGGCCCTTCCCCACTGGACACCTTGAGCCCTTCAAAGGCTTTCCCAGGCTATCAGGGAGTTGTAGCTTGACTTCAAAGGCCAGAAATGTTATTTACCAAGGAAAAGGCTTCCTGTGTAATGGTTTTCCCTCACAAAGGGCAGGGAGGCAGCAGGAGCACGGCTTGGG